CGACAAATTCTTCGATGCACTCTGCTTATGTTTGAAAAGATCTCTCCCGTGTCGGCCATTGATAGAATGTATATACATGTAGGGCATACTGATATATGTATATAATGAAGACACGATCAATCTATATTGATCGATATTCAAAATAGAAAACGAAATGCAACTCTGTGGTCATTTAGTGCAACCAACATCGACAATGCGGGTACAAAGCAAAGAATGGTCCGCGAAGTGACCGCCATCCTCGAGTATTTCTCGAGAATTTTAGAAATCATATATTATATATATATATATATATATATATATATATATATAAAGCCTTCTTTCTAGGGGAGGGGAATGCAGTGACCCCCTGCTCCCAGGCGCGTAGCCAGGGGGGGGGGGCGGTGGGGGCGGTCGCCCCCCCCCCAAAACGCCGGCCAAAAAAAAAAAGAGAGAGAAAGAGAAGAAAAAAAAGAAAGAGGACGTAGGAAGAAAAAGGGAAAAGGAGTCGAGAACGGTACAATGAATCGTCAAAGCTTCCGCGCTTCGCGCGGAAAGGGAGAAACTGAGTTCAAATTAAGAAATATGAGTCGGGAAAGGTACAACGAATCGTCTTCTTTCTCTAATAATTTAATGAAACGTCAAAGCTTCGCGCGAGAAGGGGTGGAACAAAATTCAGACAAGGATTAAGAGTCGAGAAAGGTACAACGAATCGTCTTCTTTCTCTAATAATTTAATGAAACGTCAAAGCTTCGCGTGGGAGAGAGGGAGGGACTGAATACAGATAAGGATTATGAGTCGAGAAAGGTACAACGAATCGTCTTCTTTCAAAGCTTCCGCGCTTCGCGCGGGAGGGGGGAAACTCCCCTCCCTGCACCCACCCCCCTAGGGAGCGCGCTTCGCGCGCTCTTAAAGTGATTCGCACGCTACGCGTGCTCACTACCGCCCCCCCTAAAATGAAATCCTGGCTACGCGCTTGCCTGCTCCTCCCCCCGTTTCATTAGATTTTGGTATCACACGTATTTAGCCCACTATAACCAAGATAAAACAAGCGGCTATCTTACCTTTGAAAGAAATCCGAGGGCTATGACTAGCCCCACCCCATGACCCCACCCCACGGCTCATATTGAAATTAAAGATAAAAGATATCAGGAAGAAAGATATTCCGTTTAAGCGAAACCGTTGTAACAATGCCTCATTCGTTCTCTTGTTTTTTTTCTTTAAAGAAAGTTCATCTTCACTTTGTGTCAGAGGACACTTTTTTTTTTTTTTTTGGTCTCGAAATTTGAAAATTTGACATTTTGCTCTGTGGGGGGGGGGTGGGGGGGGGGGGGGGGGTTAAGGTCACCTTTTTTAGGTCAGCCATGGGAATAATTTTTTTTTTTAATTTTTTTATTATTAAAAAAAAAAGAAAAAAAAAGAAAGAGAATAAAAAAAAAACCAAAGGGGGGGGGGGTTGGTTTTTTTTTAGGGGGGTTTATACACACAAAAATACCAAAGGGGGGGGGGTTTAACCCCCCAAACACCCCCCCCCCCCCCTGCGTACGCGCCTGTGTGTAGCGGCACTCCAAATTATTTTTTGACAAAACAAAACAAAAATCAAGGGTTTAGTATATAAATATAGTTCACTAAAATGTTTGTATGTTTTTTTTGGGTTTTTTTTGAGGGGGGGGGGACCCCTAGTCTCTGGAAATAGAAAGTGAAAACAAAAGAAAGGGACTGTGTACGTAGTCGGAGGTCGTAGCTTAATTCTTCTTGCAACACGATCAAACTTTTTTTCTTCAAAAAAGCAACTCAAGGGCAATTTCAAAACCCTATAATACATCCTGTACAGGGGCGTACACAGGGGGGAGGGGGGGGGGGGTTTGGGGGGGTTAAACCCCCATATATAAAAAAAAAAAAAAATAAAAATTATGCCCACGGCTAACCTAAAAAAGGTGGCCTTACCCCCCCCCCCCCCTCCCCCCAACGAAGAAAAATGTCAAATTTTCAAATTTCGAGACAAAAAAACAAAAAATGTGTCCGCTTACCCCCTCCCCCCCCCCCCCCCCCCCCCCCCCCCACTGAGCGACTTTTCGGCCGACGCGATTTTCAAATTTTCGGGAGCAAAATATTTTGGGCCCGATTTTAACCCCCCCCCCCCCTTGAAAAAAATCCTGCGTACGCCCCTGATTCTGTACATACCTCAATGTCATGTTTAGAAATGTTAGTAGATGACGCACAAGCCTAATGACATTGCCGTATATTAGTTGATTTTTCGAAAAAAAAGTTGCGATCGTTTTCATCAGTTAAAAAAAAAAAAAAATCTTCTCGTTTCCTTTCCTTTTTCCTTCTCCCTTCTTTTCTGTTCCCTTTCCGTCGATTGATTGGTTGGGGCCGTGGGGGCACGTCTGTATCTATGAAACTGTAATCTGTTATGTAATACTCATTTACTTCAATCTAATTGAGTGTTGTTGATTATGCAACACTTCGTAGGCCCATTCATGATTATTTTTCTTTTTACAATAGACCCGTATAACAATATGGGAAAGTCGATAGATTTAGCTCCCTGGTACATTGTATAACGCTCGTTAGTCAAAGCGCCTTATCTCCGAATAGACTGCGTGTCTCTCAAAACAGAAGAAGGGGGGGGGTGGGGCAGAGGAAGAAACCATACACGAAAGAGAGAGAGAGAGAGAGAGAGAGAGAGAGAGAGAGGGGGGGGGGGGGGGTGATGAGTGGTGGCATTTAACATGGGTGGTGTATACTTTTTGCCAGGATATCATTTAAAAATATGACTTTTCCAGAATAAATTTATGACAAGCCTTGGATTTCTAGGAGGTTCTCCTGTTTGTTTACTTGTTAACAATTTGTTTGCAATTTGATGAATTAACAAAAAGTTTGCATAATTTCAAATGATTACTTTCTGTTTTCGACCATCGGATAGATCTGTCTGGTTGCAATAAGGTAGGTGGTGGTCGTGATCGCTGGGCTATTATAATGAAAACGAATCAAGAAATATTTGATGTTTGTAGGAAATATTATTATTGTCAACAACATGAAGCAAATAGTAAGCTAATAATAACTTCAGATGTCTCTGTGATTATGATTGAAATTCGAATCATTTCAAGTAACAATATAAGAGTGTTGCCATGGATGAAAACGGTATATCAAAACCACGCCCCCTCCAAAAAAAAAATGAATGGACCTAACCACTATAAATACGCTTCCACTGCAGGGAATTTCGGAGGCCAGGCACCAGTTTCACATTTATTACAAAATGTTACCGGCAACACTTCAGTGTAAATTATAAACTGTATGGGCATTGTATTGGGAATAGTGCATCAAACATTTTTTTCTTCAAATTTAGTGCTCCGCCCTTCCTATAATTGTGTGCCAGAGTTGGTCAAAGAAAAAAAAAAAAGATCCTTACAAAAACTCAATATATTAGGATAATGCCGGGGGGGGGGGGGAGGAGGGGTAGTGAGCATTTAATTTTTTCCTCTTTCGCCCCCCTGGATTTTAAAATCGCGTCGGCCGATATTTCGCTCAACACCGCCCCCCCCCCCTCCCTTGAACAACAAAGAAAAGGTAAATTTCTGGCCACAATTTTTTTTTTTTTTTTTTGGGGGGGGGGGGGGGTCCCGTCTCGCCCCCCCCCACACTCAGTGTTATTTAGGGTACGCATATGCGTGTTCCCAGCACCCCCCCCCCCCCTTTTCAACATAAGTCCGGTGTGTGAAGTCAATACGGGGAGACCTTTTTGTTTTGTTATACGAGCCTTTTCTCAGCACCCCCCCCCCCCTTTTCAGCACATGTCCGGTGTATAAAGTCAATACGGGTAGAGCTTTTTCTTTTGTTACGAGTCGGAGATTTTGGGGACACGCATGCGGTCCCCCGTTCCCGGAGTGGGGGAGCCGGGGGACGAACAACAACAATCTCGGTGACCCCAAAAGCTTGTTAGAGGATCAACCAACATAACAACACCTACAGGATGCATGATCAATACCATCCATACAACATTAGAACGAGAGTGAGGAATTAAAAAGCTTATTCTGTTTTTTTTTTCTCGAGAAACATCAAGTTTGTCAACCTACAATTTACCAAAAACAAACAAACAAAACTGGAAAAAAAATAAGTAAACAAAATATTATGACCCCAATTTGCCAAATAACCACATAGGCCTCCCCCCAAAATAAAACAAAATTAGCTTTGTAAAGTTTGTTGAATGCAGAACCTGGTTTTGGACAGAGCCATCTATATACAGAGTTTGGCCAACTTGGTTTCACTGGGTCACAGCATGCCGTATATCCCTTTTTAGTGCTTGCCCAACAAAGCAGTTGTCACCATATTGTGTCCAACATTGAACCGGGTTGGCCAAACTCTGTTCATAGATTTTTTTTTTTTTTTAAATGATATTTTATTTCCTTCCTCATAATTTCACAGAACAAGAAATTTGCATAACAAGAAATAATCAAAATAAGCAATATAAAACATAGATGGCTCTGGTTTTGGATAAACATAGCGCCCTCAAATATCTATGGTTTTCTTTGAAGGCGTCACTGTGTGACATCCTCTAACAGTAGATTCTCCCTAACATTTTTTAATTTTCCCAACCGTTTTTCCATGAAAATATGACATAAGACGGGCTTTAAAAAAAACTTTCAACACTTGGATGTCTGGACTGGGATATAGAGCCAATTCAATGCTTTGAGATGACTTACATTCACCTAAACTGTAATTAAATTGTATTAATATAGTTGGGAGAAGTAAGGAATCGATCAGATAATTTTCCCCCTATTGTTATCATTAATAATGGTCTGTTTTTTACTCAAATTTTCAGATTATCTTTAATTGCACATTTAGCAGTGAAGTCACTACCTTAGCCATTTTGTCTCATCTAAACAATGTTACCAAGTTACTTTAAGTTCAGAGAAGATATAACCTTTATCTATCAAGAATGAATCATATTCTCACAATCACTTCATGAAGTTTTGAACAACCTTATAAATTGGTTTTATCAATGAAAAACATGGAGTCAACTGTAACATTACAAATAATACATTTTATTCAAAAATAGTGAAATATATCTCTTTCAGAGTAAATTAGTTAGTAACCCTCTTATCACAAAACTCGCTAAATTTACAAGTCAAGGTACATCACTCATCTTCAGTTCCATCTTGAAGAAAACTGAGAAGAAAAAAAAACCCTGCAAATTTGAAAAATGTAAATTTGCCCTGTTGAGCTATGTCTGTATAATGCTCATAGATAAGACATACAGTCAAGCCTGTCTCAGTGGCCACCTCTCTATAAAGTCCTCCTTTCTATAGTGGCCACCTTTCTATAGTGGTCATGTATTTTGTCTCACTCGAGAAAGAAATGTGTTGTGGAACCCGTCTTTAAAAGCCACTTGTCTACAAAGGCCACTTTTCTGTTTCCCTAGGGTAGACTTTATAGACAGGTTTGACTGTATATGTAATGACATTTCAAATCATTGCAATCAGGGTGACCCTCACATCAGGAAAAAAATGGCAGAATCGACTGGCAGAATCATACTGAAACCAGTTGCGGTGATCCAACATTTCCTACTGCAACAATGATATTTTGTTCTGTTCTTTATTTTGTCAAAGATATACAGAGTTGGGGTTTAGGTAAGGTTTAAGGTCAGGATTTGGTATTGTGTTTCGTCTGGGGTTGAGTTGGAAGAATGCAGTCATTGTAAACATTTGACCGCAGAGCAATTGTTCCTGGAGTATACATTGTACAGTTGCATGACTGCCAATCTACCTATAGGCTACAGGACACGAGACCGACAGCCCAGAGACTGACAGCCCAAAAGCCTTCGGATAACATTTTTGAAGATACACCAGACTGACATTATTTGTCTCATGGGCCGTCGGTCTTCTGAGATGTCCCGTGAGCTGTATACAACTTGGCCATATTACATTATTCAAATTTCTTTCAAAATAAAGCTGTATTCAGTTCATACATTTCGCCCAGTGGTTCCAAAGATAAATTTTACCAAACCTTAAACTTATCTTGCAGGGGTGCATCCAATATGGCATTTCTATAATTGCATTAAGTAGTGCAAAAAAGGAACATCCAACATGTAATAGGGTCCCTTGTAAGAGTAAAGGCAACAGGAAAAACAAATAAGCATACCATTATATTCCCAAGCTAATTCTTATTGATATTTGAGGAATTTCATCATTTCTAGCCTGTCATCTAGGTACACAGACATTTTTCTTCTTCAATGATCTGTGGTCACTGTGCTACCAGAAAGAAACAAGTACATAAATGTACTTTTTAAATTTCATAAGCACTTCAGAATATTTTGAATAGATAGATGGCGCAATATAAGTATGGTATGTTATTATATTATCATTATTACTATACATGTAGTACGATAGAATTATCCAAAGATAATTTTTAGTTCTCACATTCTGAATAATAATATTAAGCACTATATCTTCAACAAATATAATATAATGTTAACATTAGGCTAGTTACAATCTTAAACCCGCAAAAGGTATATGTACACACACCACCTTCAAACTACATATGTATCATCATATAAATGATAATAAATAAAAAGGATAAATGAGGATGAAATTCACCTTGAGTACTGATTATCTAAATCAGTTTTTGAAGGACTGAATGCTGTGACATTATTCTTTCAGTATCTAAACATTCAAGAAAAACCATAGGATGAAACATCCACCTTTGTATCATTCCTACCATGGCATTGTTTCACAAAACATTTAGGAGTACAAATTCATCAACATCCCATCGAACGAATGATAATTTCAATACACACGTTAACACGTTAATATATCATGGAATGATAGATATCCAATGTTATTTTGTGAAACTTGGCCCCGTATCTTTGTTTTCCTTGCAGAATGCGTTTGAAGTCTGAAAATCAGAAGTTAGCTAAAATTGCAATCATGTAGACAAGCACAGGAAAACGATCCACATGTGGGAACTGCTGTCAATTAACTCTGAACGATAATAACAATACAAAAATTTCTTATATATATATATATATATAACAAGTCTACGAGTAACAATTCTTAGGTAATCCTAAAAATAAATGTATGTGAGACAGCCACTTTTTTCATAGTATTGAGATGAATAAAAAGCAAGAAAATCACAGGTGTCAAAAGGTCGCTTGAAAAAAAATACTGACTAAATAGTGAAGATATAATTGTCCAATTTCGTTGTTTAGTAATCACATTCTAATCTAGTAAATTTAACAAGATCTAATGGATCTTCTGTTCTGTTTATAAAACAACTCAAAATCTAAATAATCTCAACTTACTTTAGGTAATCAACTAAAATCAACTGACATTTGTATGCAAGGCATTAGTGATAGTACATTATAAGCAGCATGTTCACCTTCAAGGGTCCAGGCTAACTTGGCATTAGGGGCATCTCTAAGGGCATCTCTGACTCATCGGAAACTCTACTTTGACTTAGCCATGCCCAGAGAGCTGAATCGATGACAAATACTTGAGGAAATTTTTCGCACTGATACATCATTTAAAACGAAGAATTTTTAACATTGTTTTATAGGAATGTGTGAAACAAAACTAAACTATTTTGGGCACATTGTTAGGAGATCTGAAGGTGTTGAGAAGCAAATACTGCAAGGAGCAGTCGAAGGAAAACGTGGTAGAGGTCGTCCACCAATATCTTGGACTGGTATCAAGAAAGTGTCTGGACAAGGAATGAAAGGTGCAACACAAATGGCAGGTGAAAGAGTTGCATGGCGTGCTCTCGTGAAGACCACAGCAGCGCTTTACAGCGCCACCTGAAGTTGATGATGATGATGAAACAGTTAACCTTCTGCCTACTGAATTCTCTCGTTCTCAAAGGATTAATACAGGTGCCACCTGGTTCCCGGAAGCAAAGGGTTAATAAAGAGGTAATGCTGATCATTTCAAAACATGCAAATTCACAGAACATGAAATTTTATGCTAGTTATAGATCCCATGTGTAGGTAGCACTTCTAACACTTGAAACCTAATCACCGTTTAATGCAGAGTCTGCCCGGTGCTAAAGCTAGCTCGATCCCCCATGTTCTGAAATACATGAATTCAATATTTAGTGATAAGGTTAATGTATCATCAAATCATAAATGTGATGCACTGTACACATAGATGCTATAAAGCACACAAAAAGGCCTTTCCCTTTTATGGCTATATAAATAACCCATCTGAATGTTCTTAAATCCCTCTACTGACGTCAAAGGTCATCTCGACTTGAGGATGACATAGATGATGAAGAAGACCAAGGCGGCAAAAAGAAACAGGTAGAGATAGTGGCAATGGAGTCCCCCCTTGGAGAGGCGTGATAGTCGCCCCATGGTGGCACCAAGAAAGCCACCCGAGGCATCAAACTCTTGGTCCTAAAAGAGGGTTGAAGAAAGTGAATTCAACGGATTAATGCACAATCTTTGCTAATTATATGTTGAATTTATAAACACACACTGTACATTATTTTTTATTTCAAGCATTACAATACGAAATACATTTCATGAATAGGAAGAGACAAAAACTATCACAATAATTCTGTAAGTGGGAGATCAAACATCTCCGCAGGTGACATTTGCTCCAGGGCTCCGAGTCCTAGCTATATTTTATCAAAGATACATATGGACATGTCATGGGTTGTGATTTTAGGCCGTAGGTTATGTTTGGGTATTTTGATTGGGACAGAACAAATTTAGTAATTTATTGAGAGTTAGCAAGTGACTCTGGACCAACTACATGTACCTGCAACCAAAAAATGGAAGAATTCCTCCTTCAAAATGGCTAAATATTACATAAAAATAATAACAAGTAAAAGATCATTCACAATTTGACAAATATCATAAATATGAGAATTAATCACTCACCATATCACTTAAAAGTTTGTTCTGTTCTTTGACTTCATGGCCCATGTCTATACTGAGCTGTAAGATAAAAAAAAAGGTGACCATAGTGCAGTAATTTACAAAAGTTTAAGACTATCAATACAAAATGCATTTACTTGAAGAATTTTTTTCCCCCTGCATGGTTCATCAAAATACATGGGAAGAACTAATATCAACACAAAAAGAAACAAACATGGCAGTAGACTTTAAAAAGGCAATAACTATACAATGATCATAATAATTAACAGTAATACTGCATGGAGAAACATGCAGAAGTTTAAGCCAAACTGTGAAATCATAGCCATCTATTCATGGCTCAAAAGGCATGAGATGGTGTTTATGATTTTCCAGTGCTCCCTTGCTCTTTAGATGACTATTTGAGGGATCTATATCAACAATCCTCTCTAATGATCAAACTACATGGTCATCACAGGAGGATTGGATGACCACGCCTTTCCTGGTCAGAAAAAAAAAAAATCATCTTCTTGAAATTTTGATGTGGTGTGCACGTCAAATATTACCACGGACCTTATGGCTCAAATATGATCTCTTTTTGTCGACTGAGCTTAGTTCCTAATTGCAATACAAAGCTTGATTTTTGTTTCTTTCTTGCTATATCAGTGCTACCTCCATGAAATAGCAACTTAGCCTTCTGACTCCTGTGAACGCATTGAAACCCTACAGAAGTTGGCAGCAACATGAGCAAACGAGATAATCAGTGTCAACACGTAAGTACTTAGTATTGGAGATATAGTAGACAGAACAATAAAATACTTGCAAACACATCGCAGGCCTACCGTTTTTAAAACGCTAACTTTCGATCGAAGGTTTTCGGTGAGGTGCTGGTTCTCTTCCTCAACAGCATTGTAATCTCCATAGCCCTGACTGGTGGTCGGGTTGGTTCCACCTGAAAAGATTATATGAAGTCTTATCATAACAACATAATTTTACATGTTTAAATGACTGGTCCTTTATACGCCAAATGCTCAAGATATAACATATTACTAAAAAATTAATAACTAAGTTTACCCCGACTGTTTTTCTTTTCTTCATGAATTCCAGATCAGACTCTGATCAGAGTGCTCTCTGTGCATGGCAATATTAACCTGTTTATTATGAATATGCATGAGATTAATAACAGCCTGGAGCCACAAATATGAAAACACTTAATAATAAAGGGCGACTCCATGACGTAATGTGTCTAATTTTTTTCCTCCATTTTCTCGTTCAAAAACTGAAAAATTTTCTCTAGATAGGACCATTTACCGGTAATAACTTTCCTGAAACCAGAAAAGATTTGTTTTCATTTATTGATGAAATAAATGTACAAATTGGCTGATCAAAGCAAAAAAGGGCATTAATTAACACCATATTAAATTATACGAATCAACACCCTTCTGGCTCCATATGGATAAAATGTCAAACATCATATGGGGCATGGAGTAGCCATAAAGGATTTACATATATAGCTATACGTAAGTTGATGACTGGATTTGGAAGCAGATGACAGACTCTAAATTTATCAAGAGTTGGATAGTGAGTTATCATCGTTTGTTGAAAACGAAAACTGTAAACTGTAATTGTATAACAAGCACCTAATTTTGACAATCAGGAGCACATGTACTAAGGAGCTAAACATTTCCTTAATGACAAAACCAGTGACAATGGGAGGGGGGGGGGAGGGGCTCCTTATTTTTGTCTCTGAACCAATGCTCATAGTCTCTTGCTTTAATTATAATATCCTGTATTTGAGTGCCCCATGAGACCAAATTGAGACTTTTTTGAGGCACAATTCCAGGCAAGGTGTGCACCAAAGAAAATGAGAATCTAGTGATATTACCAGCATTGACATACCGGGTATATGGCTCTTTACGGTATCACTAAATAAAATTGTCATAACATATTTTTCATTTTTGGGGTGAAGTACATGGAAAAAAGTAGTCCAGTATGTCATATATGTCTAGGACACGTTGCACAATATCTGCCTGGAGGGGGCGGGGGAAGGTTGGAAATTAAAACACTTGGATATACCACCATATCAAGACAAAAACTGATCAGAAAACTATGGAGATGAGAGAAAGGGAAATGCAAGTGGAAACAATGGAGATGAGAGAAAGTGAAATGCAAGAAAGAGAAAAAGAAAGAAAGAAAGAGAAAGAGAAATGCAAGTGGAAACAAATTCAAATCTGGATTACTGGACTTGACCCTGACCTACCTCCTCCTGCTGCCCGTCTCATGGTTGAAAGAGAAGTGTCTGATGCAGAACTTCAAGATTAACGTCACTGATGGATCACTGACACCCGGCCCTGTCAATTATTGTCTTGCTTTCCAGGTGTTGGTTGTTATCTCAATTCCTTGGTTCTAGGAGTAGGAGCCTTTGAAAGAGCTAGTCTGAGCTTGCACTAAATCTTGATATTTTCATGAATTTAAAGAAAGGAGAAGAGTAAGAAGATAAATCATATTGTATTTACTACATATACGATATAGACCCTATGCTTATTTCGCATTGCCAATGTGATGATGACTTTATGACAATAGCACAAGGCACACTCTTAGAGTGTTGCTGAATTCAGCAAACTCCCCACACATGCATGCCTGTTATTATTTAAGATAATACATTAAAACTAATAGCTATGGTCTGAATTCAACATCAAATCGGCAACGTGAAACAGCCTTTTTCAAACACCACTGATCACCACATCATGATCGTTAGGGTCGACTTCAGTACTTGCATTTGATTAACATCGCGAACTATTGAGTCTTCGCAGATGCAGAGGTAAGCATTTTTGTCATGCGAATTGCAGTTTAATCATCTGGAACACATCACCTGGCATGCAGCATGCAGGTAAGCTAAAACTGCAAAAAAAAAAAAAGAATCTCTAGCCTCTAGGCCTAAATCTAAGATCTATTACAAATTTCCTTTTGAATTTTGGGGGCCTGGGGGGAGGGGTAGAATTTCTTGATCAATTTAAAAGTGTGCTGCACAGAAAGAAGACTCCTCCAGCGAACGCTGACGGTAGTTTGCAAGATTTTTTGTGTGCCACAAGCACAGTGCCAGAATGTATTTTATGTTCACAATCACATTTGTGTTTTTGTTTACTGCCCCCACACTGTAAATTAACAAGTGCTTTGTCGGCGCTTGTTCAGAAACCTATCCAAAATATGACCCGTAACTCGGGCGTGGAGATACCCTACTAAAACATACCCAAAATGAAGTAAATATTCATTAAATGTCCAAATAAAGATCATGAGTTAAAAGTCGATATGTTTATTACCTGTTTGGTGTCAATTTTCTAGTTATTTTTGGAGTATTTTTCCGAAAAGCATTGATTTTAGTATGCACTTTTTTACAGGTTTCACAGCAAACCGCTGCACAATACAAGTGCATACTGATGATGGTGGGTTGCAGGCGGGCGTGCGCCTGTGTGAAGTTATCAGCCGTAATGAGGATCTGAGACATTACGGTAGATATCTTCACCAAGGCGCGCGCCCGCTCGCAATCCACCATCGGTATGCACTTGTATTGTGGAGCGGTTTGCCGTGAAACCTGTGAAAAAGTGCATACTAATATCAACGTTCTCCTGAAAAAACTCAAAAAATAACAAGAAATTGACAAAAAACGGGGAATAAACATATCAACTTTTAACTCATGATCTTTATTTAGACATTTAGACCTAATGAATATTTATTTCATTTTGGGTATGTTTTAGTAGGGTATCTCCACGCCTGAGTAATGGGTCAAATTTTGGATAGGTTTCTGAACAAGCGCCGCTTTCTTTGTACACACACCATTCCAGCAATTCATGACACTGCACTCCTTGTAGTTACTCACTTCACCTACTATCCCAGTATAGCTTCCTGAGTGAGCTGCCAAAGGGATTACACAACCAAGTACGGTACCAAGTAGGCTACCGCTACAGAGCGCGCAGCTGCTAGCTGCAATGCATGCCAATGCAATGCCAATGACCATGGCATCACCCCGGCTGTGTCCTAGGCCTGCAGCCCTCCGACAGCCCGGTCGTAATTTGGAGGACAGCGAGCGAGTAGGCACTCTCAGATAACAAAAGCGATCAAAAGGTCATGCCATCCTGGTTTAGAAACTTTACAATAACAACATGCAGATGATAAGGTTATTGACTTACAACATTCAGCTCTCGAGCTCTCTGTCTTAATAATGACATGAAATTCTTCCAAAAAAGCAAAAACAAGTAGTATCGGCTGTGCCCTGTTTACAAAAGTACACGTAGCAGAAAAGATAATAAACTTAGACGACAGTTTTTCGACTAACACGTAGCAAGTTGAACCTAGCCGTCAAGATCATGAACCAATAATTTTCAAAACTAATCTGATTTGATTTGATTTGATTTGATTGGTTTTTGTAGTTACTTTTCATGTTGATTGTTGAAAATGAGAGTTAATAAACTACCCTTCAGGATTTCTAAAGGGCATATTATTTTCATTTGAACACCCATCAAAATAGACTCATGTCAATTAATACTCAATTTTTGTTAAAGATTATAACTATAAATAAAAATATGAAGCAAAGGAAACTGTGTTCAACAACAGTCTAGGTCCTAGGTCATAGTAACCATACAACCTAATCAAGTGAATAGTGAAAATTCAAGAAGTAAATCAGAGGTTACAATTAAGGATCATAATAATGTGACGGAAAAGAAGAAAGCCCTGTAGAGAATTAAGTGAGAGAGAAACATATCATGTCATTAAGAAGACTAGAATAGGTGGTATCAGTAATTTGGAGGATTTTTCTATACAGAAGAGAAGCATTCATAGTTGAAAATTTAGTGCTTGGAAAATTATGCCCAAACATGAAAATAAGGCCAATTCATATCTACTTAACCCTTTCAAAAATAAATAAATAATAATAATAAATATAATAAATAATACCCCCAAAATATACACAGTACTACCCTACCTCAGCTTAAAATAACATGCTTAATGAGATTAAACCTTACTCTAATTTAGTGGACCATTTGCTTCATGACCTTAAAAAAATCTAAACCAGGAGTAGACTTACCATGGCAAATCAATTGAGTATACTTTTCCCCACAGGACGCTTGATATTTTGGCTCAATTGTCGGCTGGACGATTTCTGACCGAGGGCTGGTTGATCGTCAAAAAGTAATATTAAACAAACAAAAATACAGGAAATATCCTTAGGCAAAGTGCAATCTTCTTTTGCTTATTTGTCTCACACTCATTCAAAGAATTTTTCAGCTTTCTTCTTTTCTTTCATTTTAATCATTCAATCATGGTCGTTGTTGTTATAAACCCTTCCAATTATCATTCTGTACAATAACCCATTACATGTAAGCAACCTTTCCATTCTTTATTTGTGATGTAATAATGATGTAGCCGGGACATACACGCCAAACTCTGTGCAGGGGCATCTCAAGTCTATATGCTTTTAAATCTTTCCCATTTTATGTTTTACATTAAAAGTAACAAAATAAACATAGTTCATTCTCTTTCATCCTTCTTTATAGTGCAAAACACTATAGTTTCCACAAATGTTAATATCAAAGAAATGATATTAGATTGGCGAGCACCGTGAAAAATAAGACCTCTATATGACCAAAAACACAAACACTGGGCCAGTGTTCATGGTTTTCTAGAAGTGTTGCACTGAAGAGTAATATTGAATTACTTAAGTGTTTGAAACTTTATAGCATTTAAAGTCATTGACTTTTTTTTACAAATTTGAATATCAGAGATATGATATTGACAAGGACTATTAACAGTAATGGTTGAATAATTAACACCATAATCAATGGGACTGCTTAAAAAGTATTACACAGAAGAAAATGTTGTGTTATATATGATTTAAATTCATTTACTTTTATTCTGCTATTTTCATACGTGTATATAACACATGCATAGTCATATAATTTCATTTTTCATTCAACATAAACATTTCCATTACATTGCAACATGGTACTTGTACAAAATATACAAACTGGATTCCAATTTTGATTTTTTTTTTTTGATGGGCAAAATATATATTCAGTAATATAACTTACACAAATTTCAAATGATTTCACACAATTTCATGAAATAATAATAATTGTGTTTGTAAGTTAAAATCTGTTTTAAAAAATTGTGCTTGAATTGAAAATTTCAGGGAAATAGGATTTTTGCTGTAATTACTTGTTTCCTACTTTAGGCACACAAAAGAAAATGACTAAATTATTCCAAAAAAATCAATTTCAGAAAAAATGTCATGCTATCGTTTTCTTCTTTCAAGAATAAAACATATTTATTTCTTCATATCTCTGCCAATACATAGATTAAAAATTTCATAAAATCCCTAAAAATGCCAAACATTTCCATTGAGTACCCATTTTAGTTGTTTTCAGTAGGCCTAACTACATGAAGGAATATGAAAAAGAAACGCACAAACACACATACAGAATGCTAAAGGTTAATGAAAAATGTAATAACTGAGAAATTCAACAAACAGATTTCAGATTAATTTCTACAAAGTTAAAGGCCCACTGCACTACTGGTAGCTACTTGCGCCCTCTATATAACAAACAATGCCTAATCGGTGACCATTGGTCCCCCATGATCCTCTTTTTCTTATGTTAACTGAGAGCTGAGTTGACGAGATAACCACATGTCAAGTGACCTTGTAGAGCGGTTTAATCCCTCCTGTAAACTACGGCAGATAAGCTTTAAAATGTGAGTAAAATGAAGGACTGGAGTTCAACAAATTCTGGATTAGGCCTTCAAGTAGTACAGTAGTTGTGTTGGAGGGGGGGGGGGGCGGAATGACAGCTCCTACCTAACAGTATGTGGGATGTGCCATTGACCTCAGGTCGAATGTTAACTACATTTACAAAGCACATGATCTGAGTAACAAACCTATATTGAAGTTCTCCTTTAAAACTTCTATATAACTATTTCACAATTCCTCCTATCTTTTTCATAATTGCACACAATATATTACATGTCTTCAAATTGTCGGAATAAGATTAAAGGGGAACATAGGTTTCATCATGAATCGCAGGTAAGATGGAATTGTAACTTTTGGGTTTCACCTACATGTATCATGTGAGAGATCATTACATTCCTCCAAATTCCTTCGTGCTCTGGCAGTTCATTCAAGACTCATTCATACAGTTAACAGCTAAATTATTCATACCCGTAACAAGTTTTGTCATTTGTTTAATTATGTGAAAATTTGATTTTGCCCAATTTATTTTTCCTGAGAATGTGATATTCAAGCTTACATCAAAAAGTATTCAACAAAGACCCTAATTCAACCAGTCCACCTTTCATTCTTGAATTATGAAAAACACAAAAAAAAACTGTTTACAAAGGTTATGAATAATCTAGTTTTCAATATGCCATGGTAAACTGCACTTGTTTTATTTTCTTTTTTACTACATGAATAGCAAGTGGGGATGAAAATCATGATCATGAAACAACAACGGCCCAATGAATACACAGTTATCTGTATTTCATAAGGTTTGAAAAATGGGAAGTCCAGTACGATTAAGTAGGCTAAAAAGACAATACCTGAGGTAAACTGCTACGGCAGCATATGTGAACAAGCTTCAATTCATTTCAATACTGAATCCTCACATTCCTATTGGTTTTACACAGGAACCACTCATTTCCAGGAGGTAATGGGTTAAGGGCCAGATTTCATCACAGATTAAAGGGATCGTTTAACAATGTTAAATCTGAGATACATGGCCCTACGTGTTATCAGTGTCTGTGATATGGTGTAATATTGAAGCCCTAAAAAAATTGCGCTTCAAAATGATCAAGAAGTGCCTCAAAAAAGTAAAAATCTTTGAGTGACCGGTTTTACCATACTTGTTTTCCCCAATAGACTGTAGTGTTATGAAAACCGTCAGGCGAACGGTTTTCAAAATTTGTAATTCCAATCATAAATATCTTGATAATCAGACAGGCGATCGGCTTGTAAAAGTCATGGGGTTCCTGACTGACCTAAGGTTTATAATTATCATTGCATCATGAGTAAAATCCAGAATTTTGTTTCAGAATCTGAGACAAAGTTACCGGATCCCTTTAAAAGAGAGTTAGAATTCATTTTCTTTGGTAGTCTATTTCAGATCATCAGAGGGTCAAGAGGCTCGTCATAAAGCACATGTGAGATGGAATCTGTGTTCTTTGGTGGTCCATTTCAGATTAGAAGGGTCAATGGGTTCTTCTAAAGACTTCTCAGAGTAGACCACTTCTCCTGCAGCATCTACAGTTATCACAGTGCTAGACCTGTCAAAATCAACAGATGTAAACAAAACAAAAAACATTAACGTCATTATTGTTATTAACATTATTCATTCAGCACTAGATAAAATCAAGAAAAAGGTGAATACAAAACAACAGTAAGGTTTGGAGTGAGTCACATAGATGCTGGTAAATGAAATATATTACGGTAAATGAAATAAATAGCTATAACATGAAAGTCTTCTTTCCAATCCATGTGACTTTACATAAATAAATAGCACAGAATAGCAAGATACAACAAATCAAGCAAAATTTCACTTAAATTGTATCATAATGTGAAAGAGGATGACATTTAGGACACATTTCTGCTAGGAATTTCAAAACAAATGTGTTTGAAGTTGAATATTGATGGAAGAATATTATGTATTTTGTTATTAATATTTGTCTTCAAACACATTTTTTTTTTTTTTTTTTTTTTTTTTTGGGGGGGGGGGGGGGCGAAATCTTTGCAGAAAGGTGTCTTAAATGAAATCCTCTTTCACATTATGATAAAATTTAAGTAAAATTTTGCCATCAAATTTGTGGGGCTCCCAACACTTCAGAGGGGCTTTAAACCAGGTTTAACTGCCTTCAAGAAATGGGCCTATGAGAAGAAATACAAAAGATGCATAAAATGATGGTTTCATACCTTGTTCCATAGACTGGTGACCAAACATGTACCATCTGTGGCAGTACTGCTCTCATTTCTTCTATAGTCATCCCAGGTTTGAATTTAAACTGTTCACCATTCAACCTAAAAGATAGGATATACACACATGAATGTTGAATTCATCTGTGACGTCAGGGGGGTCCAGCCGGCGGCAGGGGAGGGGGCCAAAGAGGGAGCCCAATTCGTGAGAGAATATTTACTGGCGAAACAGCCAGCCGGTGAATAAGCGGGAGGGGGTGGGGGGGGGGGGGGGGGGGTAGTGAGCACTAATGTTGTTTTGGCCCTCGGAAATTTGAAAAGTTGCACCCCTCCCCCCCTTAAGCGCCAGGGGAGGGGGCCCATC